AGGTGAGCAGCCGGAATACCATGGCTGACAACATTATGTGATCGATTTTCCGTAAACCGTCAGCCACAAAAACTGAAACGAAAGTAAGACACAAGTACACCCAAAACCCACCCAAACCCACCCAAGAACACATACAAACCACCCAATTCACCTAACCCATTCTAAGCCTTGGCATGCATGGCAAACCGACTTCATCACCGCTTTCGGCTTTTTCGCGTGTAATAAGTAAACCAAACCCAGAAGTTGGCCGCATGCCATGGCTAACAATATCAAGCTACCGGTTTTCTGCAGAGCGTCATTCACAAAATTAAATCAAAACATGGCCCGCCCTTATTTTTCTTTTTTGGCCCACACCACCCCGCCCGTGGGTAGGACCCCAAATACGGAAATAGAAGATTCTGCGCCATGCCACTCGCGGTCTCTCGTCTTATTCTGCAGACTTTTTTTCAGCTGCAGAAAAAATAGGATGTGAGTCTGGCATCTTGCCTCTAGACATTGACATTCACAAACCCATCAAACCCATCGCGTAGGAACAACATGGAACAACACTTCCGAGGCCACAAGCCTCGGAAGCCCTTGGCCTCCAAATCTGGTTCCGCTCGCGTACGCGCAGGGACACCTGAATTCCTGAGCAGTTTCCTAGTTTGGATCCAGGCTCATTTGTGTTCTGAATGTTTAAATATGATATATGCCAAGTAGATGTAGCTTAACCTCAAACTTCACCCACCATTTTGTGTGTTAGGGCAGCTCCGGCAGTAATCATATTTGCTTTCATCGCGGTAACATATTCACAGTGCTTCGCTTCCCAAATGCATCACTACTACATAGAACACTGGCAAGATATATGGGGCCCCCAATGCGTCCCACCCTCCAGAAATCAGACTCGAAGACTCTGAGATTCTCTTGCGCTTTGCAGGTCCACATACCGCCGACAGCAGTGCAGGACGGCTTCAACTTGCTTCGGATCGACTCACTCGATCTTCTAATTGTGAGCGATGTTTTAGTAGGTGTGCAGAGTCGACGGCTGAACAGCAAAGTGGGCAAACGGGCCCGCCAGTCGTTGCTTCAGCATGTCATGTAACTTGAGACTGACTCCAGCAGCCACGTAGACAAATGACCAAAGCAACTACACTTCATGCGAGTTGCAGTACGCTGAAGTGTCATGCATCATGTTGAATGCCCCAAGCCCATGGTCACCGTGGTCCTCACGTCAACCATGGTTAAGCAGCCGGGCTGCGGCTGCAACGGGCGGGAGGCAGTCTGGCCCCGCCTTGCGAGAGCTGCTTCATGGCCGCGCCTTGCAAGTTCTGAATGTTTCGGTGTGATGGGAGTCGATCCCAAGGTTTCCGCAGCGGAAAGACCAATTCCGAAGCTTCCTTTCTGCTGGTCTCGCTGCTGGCTTGGCATCTGGCTTCGTGTGTCGACAGCCCAGGCACACAGCCGTGCAAACAAGACATAACAAGACAGTGGCACCACTTGTAGGTGGCTTTGGAGAGATAGCTTTGATGAGCTTGCGTGCCACATGCGCTGAGCGCCTTCTGCGTGGTTCGCTCGTTTTTGTTCGAAGCTTTCTGTTTGAGGCTTTCGAGACTGGCTCTTTGTCTGCAGATGAATGCTCCAAGTGTGCCAGCACAGCTGATGCTGCGGGGTCCTGGCCTCGACTCAGGAGCGCACCGCCAGCCCTCCGTGGCTGCCGGGGAATGAGGAGTCCTCTAGCCCCCGAAGGGGAGGTCACGGATTGACTGAACCCTGGGATCGGAGGAGCTAGCGAAGATCGCTGCAGGGGAGCGACCCCTTGGAGCCACGGCCGTGAGGACATGTAAGCTCTGAGCAATTCTGAGAAGCGCAGCATGCACTTGTCGTACGCATTGCCATAAATGTAATATTGCAGCAGAGCATCTGTCAATGTCACAACTTTCTGCAAGTCCAACCTACCGCATGTGTTGCAAAGGATTTTACTGTCTTCGTTCGCCTGCAGATGAGCGGGCGATGGTCCTCTGCGAGCTGCAAACGAAGGAGTTGCTCGGTATTGCACATCTGGCATCGTCTGAAAAGGCCTAAGTCACGCATGATGGTCCCATGATGTGTGGCCTGGAGTCTGTGCCAGGGATGGGAAGCGTTGCTTCCACATTCCTGCATCCAAAGGCCTTGAGCAGTTTGAGGTGGGCGAGTGGGTTTCGTTTCCGTTCAGATACCGGCTTGCACAGTTCTGTCATTATCATCGACTTCGGGCTTGACTGCAACAACGCTTGATTCGCTAGATGGTGTTGGCCTTGCAGTAACTTCACAGTTCGCTGGAAGATTATCTGAAGAATGAGCAAGAAGCTCCGCTTAAACTTAGTGTCGGCCGGGCAGAGCATAGAAACCGTCCTGAGAAGGTGGCAGAACTGCCCTTCTCTGAGGGAAAGCTTGGAGGGCGCCTCAGCTGCAAAAGAATCCGGCAGAGGCACCAGGAACTACTGTGGCAGGACTTGATTCTGCTGCCGTGAAAACCGAGCTGTCTCGCATCTCTTTGAGGCATCTGTGGGATGGTGGCATCCTCATGGCTATCTGGGCAGCGCAGAGATGCGACGCACTGGCCGGACACAGAGTGTTGGAGCTTGGCTCAGGTGGGAGCTGAACAGAAATGGGCATAAGGCATAGTAACTGCATGATGAAGGGCCGGTCCAAAGATTCATCTCCAACAGCGACATGACATGAGACGTGCTGGATCTGGCAGGTGTGGGGCTTCTGGGCATAGTCTTGGCGCGATGTTGTGCTGCCTCCGTGGTTCTTTCAGCACCTCGACTTTCTGAAATTTGACCCCAGGTGACATACTGTCATACTTCCGGGTTCAAGACGAGCATCCAACGGAAGCTTGACGGCCTTCTGCTGAGGACTTCGGTCCCAATGAGGGAGCGGCGGAGGTGGCCGAGGAGGACCAACAAACAGGATGCACCTGTCCGGACACAGGACATAGAGATACAGAGAGTGCTCGTCAGGACAAGGATCGTCTCATCCCTCCGTTGCTGCTGTCGAGACTGTTGCTCGGCATACGCAGCCACCTCTGTCCGGAGTCCCTTGCGAACTGCGCGGCGTATAGCTCGCACGCGCAAGCCGTGGCAGCGTTTCGCCATCTGAGGCGGGACAATGTTATGCGCAACAGACTGAGCAATGCTGAAGCCGCTCGGATTGGAGACTTACCTTTCGTGCAACAAATCCTGGAGAAGCATCGTGAAAGTTTAGCCCCCTGGCCCCAAAGCCATTATTAGTCTCTAGGCGAGAGAGACGGATGTATAAACATATATCTACGCATACGTATATACACAGACATCTTATGTACACATATAAACAGTTGCTTGCATTCCGAATATGCTGAACAGGCAGAAGAGTGAAGGGGTGATGGTCCTTGCAGAAGAAGCAAGCTTGGCTTGTATTTTGACGAGACCTGATCTGGCGATAGAAGGCCCAAACAGGATGGTTCACTCTGCTTTTCGTTGAATCTCTGGCTGCTGCGTTAAGACTGCCAGATCCGAGCCCTGAGAACGCTGAGCGAGCCGAGGTCTGGCATTTGGACTGGCTGGACTTCCTCCGAGGCTGAAATTTCTCGGAGGACTTATAGCTGCTTTTGAGCTCGTCCAAGAAAGACGGAGGTTTCACTCGTACTGCGAGCAGTAATGGTAAACCCGGACCATTTCGGTATCGATCGTGAAGATCATTTGCCACATTATCCACCATCTAGTCATCCACATTTTGATCGCTTCTCAAACATCCTGTATTACCCTCCTCGTGGTCTTCGTCATGATCGAAGCATGCGTACGCACACTACCGAATGGAGTCCAGCATTCTGGATCAGAATGAGTGTGATGCCTTATGATCGCTAGATGTAGATGTTCTTCTACTCAGACCCGGACTTGCCTTGGAACGTCGGAAGCCCCCGGCACAGTGCGCCTGTGCAGGCCGGGAGCCGACCGAGCGCTTCGAGCGAGTTGTTGCGGCCGCACCCTGTCACAAGGGTCTGCCCTGAACAAAGCAGCTGCAGCAGCCATCGTCACAGCAATGCCAAAGACATCAGAATCAGTACCTCTAACAGCCACTAGCAGGTTTCGATTCAGCGCCAGTGCTTACTGGCTTTCTGGTTCGTGGAGGGCTCCTGGTACTGCCACCAATCCCCCTGCTATTTACTGCTTGCAGTCGCGGGTCGGTAGGTGCTAGCGACACTCTTGGAAAGAAACGGTAGTGCTCATCAGAAGGAGCGAGTCCCACTGATTCGTACTACTAGTGTTGGGAATAGGCGAGAAACTGTAGCACACTGGGATGAACATGCTCTAGAATTAGAAGTATAAGTTGTTCTAGCAGACTGGCATTGTTTTTCGTCCTGCCACTGAAATCGTATTGTCAGATAGAACAAGCTTGTAGACAGAGTAAGAAGCTTGGTGATGCAGTACTACGACATGGTCTTAGTCCGACAGAAGTGCATGTCCTTGCGTGCAGCACTAGGAGCAGCTAGGAGCAAAAGAGCCCATTTTGCGCAGGGCCGCGCCGCAGCATTGCAGTCTAGCTTCAGGATGTGGTCTACTATGCTGCGGATTTGCCTGCGCTGGCGGCTGCCATTGCTGCACACTTGCACCTCGGGTTGCGGCAGTTTCGTGGAGGGGCAAACCGACCTGCGCATGGCTTCATGGGATGCTTTCAACTCCGTCTTGCGGAGGCTTCCAGGAGGCCTGGCCTTCGTCGCTGTTCCTCGCCGGCAGTGGCGCGGCGCGCAGGCCAGAGCAAATCGGTAAACTCCAAGGCTTGCCGTTGCTACGGTCTCGGAGGCCTCCGAACGCAGCACCGCGGAGGACACATCGTGTTCTTGAGCCAAGAGGGAGGCCACACGTGTCCTCCTCACGGCCGCATGGACTGTGGAGGACCTCATCAAAGCACTGGAGCCTTTCGGTGAGGTCCAGGTGGAGGAATTCATCGGTGTCAGCCCTAGCTTCCTGGTCCCGAGGCGATTCCATCATTCCTGCCTCTGGCCTTACTTGTAGTTTGCCTCAGCTCAGGGTACTGCTGCACCCTGGAGGAGCACCCTGTCGCATTAATCCAGCTGCAAAGATCAGCTGACTGAGAACCTGATGCAGAGACCGGTGCCAAAGACTGCGCGAGCCTGGATCGAGCTGATACAGCGGAAGGACGAGTGTTGTCGACCACCGCGACACCGCGACCCCCACGACCCCCACGACCCCCACGACCCCCACGACCCCCACGACCCCTGGACACCACGAACACCACACCCACCACCACCGCCACCGCCACCGCCACCCCTGCCACCACCACCACTACCCCCACAGCAATTGCTGCTGGTTTGGCTGCTGCTGTTGTCATGGTTGTTGTTTGCGGGCTCCAGTGTCATGAACCCTTTGCAGGACATGCTTGGCAACTTCCCGAAAGAAGCAGCCATGATATCCTTCTCGTCTGCCTTGCCTCTTTGCTGTCTGGGTGCCAGCTTATGTGCCGGCAGCAAGAGGTTGCAGAAATGAAGTAAATGGAACCGGGCTCACGAGTCCTCCATGCCCTTTTTACTTAACAGTACTTTGCCAGGCACGATCTAGAAGCGCCTGAGCTGGATGTGTGAGAGCCTCAGGATGTGCAGCAGAAGGCAACTCCCCTCGTTGGCAGAAACTTATTGCGCAATCAGGAAAGCCTGCCATCCACCGAACAATCGAAATGCTACCGAGCAGGACGCCACTCCCTGCAGAGTCGAGCGCAGTTTAGATCGCTTCGATGTGAAGCGAGCCACAGAGCCTCTGCTGCAGCCGACAGGAGATCATCCAACTGAGCTGGGAGCCTAGAAAGCCTTCGGGTGATCCACGCTCAGAGACATCGCCTGTTGCTCCAGGCTTCACGGAAGAGATCAAGGCTGGACATGGCTTTTTCGAGCTCTGGGATGTGGAAGATCAGAGTGGAGCCTTTGAGAGCACACAGTCCAAGGGGTGCAGGTTCAGAGGACCTGCTACTCAGGCAGTGTGTAGGACGTAGCCACAGCAATTTAATATGTTAATGAAGACACAAGTTCATCAGGTGCGGACTTGGTGCGTAAGGTCTTCCGGTCATACAACTCATATCCTTCGTGTAAACGGCGTGCATGCTCCATAATTATAATAGCGCCTTGTACACGTGCACATACGAAGGTCTGCGAGAGATCCATTGCTGACAGAACGCGTCACGAGCACACGCATTGTGGCATCTTAGCCGGGCTTCAAAAGCACAGCCGCCGAGAGGAGTACGGCAGCCGGTAAGAAGAAGGCTGCTCCGTGCTGCTCTGTACTGTATAGTACATTGTCATATTAGATTGCAATCTCTGTTTTGTTCATCCTACTAGTGCACTTCGAGTGTTGCCCTCTTGGTAGGAGAGTGGTAGTTTTAGTCGCCGTAGTATGTACCAGGTAGACGGAGAATTCACAGCATCGTCCAACCGGCTGTCATATGTTATACCTCCATCAAAGCGATGTTTTAGGGGCTCTAGCTAAAGTGCCTGCCTGGCCTGAATTTATAAATGAACAGAGGGCTCGACTTCGGCTTACGACTCAGTGGTTCAGCTCTGGCTGCATACCCCCTGCGTCCAAGCCGAGGACCTCGGTTTCGGGTCGACGTGCAGCACCTTGGAAGCATAGATGTCCCAGTGCCTGGTGGTATGACAGCAGCCGGCATCGAAGTTGGACGTGTAGCATTCTTGTTGAAAGGAGCCTTGCGATGGAAAGCTCCGACTTTCCAGGGTCCCGGCCCCGATGCCCAGCACATGCCGACACGCAGTGGACGGCCCAGTCGCCCAGGCGTGCTCTCATCGATGGCCGAGTGGTGACTTTGATTCCCTCTGCCATCTGTGAAGGCAGAGGGCCTGCCACATTCTGCGCACAGACACGCTGTACCTTTACCCAGGATAATGAGAACAGCTTCTGCAGTTGCTTCTGCCAAGTCCCTTCCGATCAGCTTTCACGACAAAATGAGAACCGAGACACAACAGACCCATGTCGCGCACAACGAAATCATCTGAGCAGAAAGTTGTGCTCAGACTAGCTAGTTGTACTCTAGCCAGTGGAGATTTTGATTTGTGGCCATCGTCGGCTTGGTACCCAAGCCAGTGAAGCCGCTGCCAACCCGGCCATAAAGTGGAACATACAGAATCAGACAGCTAACAGTTTATCCCGCCTTGCGAGCGATGAAGACTCGCACGGCCTCGCCGGGTGTAAGCTCCCGCGGCGCGGCGGCGAGAGGTGCAGCTCGGTGAGCAGTACTACTGTACGGTCGCAGGGGCCGAGAGCAGCAGGCGTCCGCGAAAGCATTCAACTTTCCAAGGCGGCTGCTCAAGGGCCGACGGAGATGCCGGGCCGCACTGTTTGCCATGCAGGCCCGGCAATTCGTCGAATGCTCCTTTTTTCAGTTTCCGTTCGCCACTGTGTTCGCCGTTCCCCCGCTAAGGTGCAGCAGGCGGTTCTCAGCCAGGGGCAGGTGACCAGCTGACGTCCTGGCTGGCGCTGATCTCCTTCAGCGTCTTGATGACTTTTGTCTTGTCGGAGCAGTGGGCTGCGACTCGTCTCAAAGAGGAATGCAAAAAGAGGAGTGGAACAGCGAAAAATGGGTTTCGTGACGAGATTGCGAATTCAAGCTCCAGCTCCCATGTCAGCCGAGGTGCCCCGTATTGTCCCGGCAGACTCACCACTTTCAGACGGCTTCAGCGCCGACCGGACACGAGATGTTGCCAGCCTGGGCTTAGAGGTTGCTTGCAATTGCGTCCAACCCCCGACACAACCGACACACCTTTTGCCACGCAATATTCTGGAAACCAAGGTCTTGCACGAGCTGGAAGCCTGTGGTCCGAAGTACGTTGGCGCGAGTGGCAACGAGGTCTGTGCCGTTCAGGCAGTCCTGCGGCAGACTCTCGGATGGATGGGCATTATTCCTATGGCAGGGTAAAATCCGTAAGCCAGGGCTTTGTGTTTGCAGTGGAGCTGGTGTTCTGTTTGGTTGAGTCTTCTGAGTTTTCTTGAGGATTGCGAGATCTGCCGAAGGCCGAGAGTCAAGGCTGACGTTGGAGACGCAGTCTGCTTCCGGTCATTTCTTCTTAGACTTCATCGGAGGCTTCACTGTGGCCTATCGAAATCTCACGAATGTGGTCGCGCGTGTCCGTGGCAAAAGACCAAACTCGACCTGTGCTTTGCTAATCTCTTCTCACTTCGACTCGGCCATTGGATCTGTGGCAACGTCGGATGCGAATGCAGAGATTGCCATCATGACCGAGCTGCTGCGGCTTTTTCTGCACGACCCCCTTGACGTTGATGTCGTCTTCAACTTCAACGGCGGCGAGGAGTGCTTGCAACAAGCTTCCGGGATAGTCGAGACGGATAATAAGTTATTGCGGAGTTGTGTTATATCTATGGCAAACCTTGCTGTCCGATTTGCCTCAATTCCACCAGAAGCTGGCTTCGGTGGTGCAGATAGTTTATGGATGGCGCAGTGCCGACTGTCTGTGAGCCTCTCCGGGGCAGCCTGTGCATGCATGTAGCATGCAGATGCCAAGGAGCTTCCTGAGACAGACGGTTCTTTGATGTCACGCCAGGAATTCATCCTGCCCGCGGCGCACGGCTTCGTGACTTCCCATCCTTGGGCCACGGAACTCTGTGCACAGATCAATCTCGCACCCTGGCCACGGAAGCATCCCAGAAAGCGCATGCCCAAATCCTACTATCTCCCTCAGCCTTGAAGGAATCCGCTGGCTCTGGCGGTCGCGAACTTCTCTTCCAGGTGCAGGGCCTTATTCTCTTTGGCGCATCGATGATGTCTTTGTAACTCCTCTTTGTATCGTTTGCTTACTGAAGGGGCCGCGCCACAGGAGGGTGGCGCAGGCAGTAGCCCGGTGGGGGGGCATGGGACGCATGCTAGAGGGAAGGACAGTCCTTGTCGCTGTACGACGCTAATACGAGGGGAAGGACAGGGGGGGAGCACAGGGACCAGGGACGGGCGGGGGGAGGGGCGGGGGGAAATGGGCAGCTGAAGGAAGGGCCTCCAAATCAAGAGCGCGGGCGGGGTCGGCGGATGTCCGAGCCTGGACAGGTGGGTCCAGAGAATCGCTGGATCGTGGAAGCCTATGGTCAACATGCGGCTTGGCAATCGCCATGCTTTGTGAATCCTGGTAATGTGCAGAGGACTTGTTCTGACGAGGACTAGGTCAGAATTCTAGTTGCAACGGTTATAAGTTATAACTTTTTCTTCTAGCAAGAACAGTAACAATGTTCAGTAAGTCTTAGAGGACTGCAGCCGGAAGTCGAACGAGACCAAGGTGAGGCGGCCTTATGGATCCTCGATTTCGCAGGTCCTCTTTCAGACAGGCGGATGTTTCAAAGCTGTGAAATAGAAAAGGTCCACTGAGACTCAGTTCAAGGCGACCTTTTGCTGCCTTGGTGCTTGTTCTGTCGCAATTTCAGGCATCGTTCCCGGAGAGACCGACTATCGAATATATCGGGACTTCGGAGGCATTCCAGGACCTTGTGCATGTGCATGTCATTGCATGTCTGCTGAAAGTCAGGCTGTGCTGGGTTTGCTAAAGGTTGGAGGCCTGCCGTCCTGGCTCGAGTCAGCAAGCGATGAAATTCGGCGCTCCTCGCCGGCATAGACGGAAGCGCGCGTGACAGACCCTGCAGGAGCTGACTTCGCAGTTCTGACGAATGGCTGGGTCTACCACACTTGGCGAGATAACATCGAGCATCTGGATTTCCGATCTGTTCAGAGGCAATTCCTTCGAACTGCTGATGTTTTGGCCCAGTGGTGCAGGGTCACTCGGATCAAGTCGTCAATGGCCGGCAGGTACGGTGACACTGTCAACGACTTCGCACGTGGCCTTGCGAAGAAGCTTGGTGATGGGCGGCCTACAGGCAGGGACATGGGTTGTGCGCAAGGACGGTACTTCAGCTCCAGCAAAACTGTCTGCGAGATTGCAATCTGTTGTATTGTACCCTTCAGGCGTAATGCAGTAGACAAGGCAAGGCTTTATGGCCTGATGACTTGGGAATAAAATGGAGTGGCTTCGGGTGAACGAGTGCCTCGCTGCCCTTGCAAGCGTTGGCGACGAAGAAAAACCTCTGACTAGGCACGGTACTGATCTGAGACCCTGACAGGAGATGATGTTTCAGATTCCGCAGTGTTCTTCGATGTTGGTGGCACTTTCTTTGTGGAATATTCAGCAGATCTGGCAAGGAGAACCTGCGTTGCCTGTCCGTAGTTTTCCTAGAGGAGGCAGCGAAGTTGTGAAAGTGCTCCACAGAGCAAGCTGGATTTGCAAGTGGCACTCTTAGAGATTAGAGATTATGTAGAGCGTAGTAGTAGCTCCTTCCCGCTAATGGGATTGCAGGAAAATGCACGTGGCTGTTGCGATCGTTGTGCTCTCGAGCTTGCACCTTGGCTGTCAGTCCGTGTTGGAGATACGGAGACGGGGCCAAACCTGGCGCATTCTCATTATCGCTGCCGTACCGGCAAGGGCCATACGCAAGTGTGGATCCGTCTCTAGTCTAGCTTTCTTTCTTTCGTTCTCTGTTTACAATGCGCTGCGACTTGAGGGCCACACATGTCCACATCATGCCACATCCGTCTGCAACTGTAGAATTTCCCTTCGATCATTGACGCCTGTCACCAGCTCTAAGGCTCGTCAGGCGCGGCACTGCCTGCGCAGGGGCCATCTTCAAAGCGGCACTGACGCTTGTTCTTGCAGAAGCTGTGAGACCTGTCGTGTCGGTTGTGGATATCAGACAGGTTCGATGATTCCGCACAAGGAACCCGAAGTATGGCTTAAGAGGATGCACGTATGACCTAGAAACCAGGTTTCTGCCGGAGACTATTAAGTGCAATTTCTCATGTTGACTTCGCCGACACCCAGGAAGCTCTTTCTGGCCTTTCTTTCATCGCTGCTTGCCGCTGCAGCAACGGGCGCGGTTGTACGGTGGCCCAGAAAGGGATGGTAAGCAGAGTGTCCCCCGCACTTATGTCGGAAATCACGAATTACAGTCACGCAGCCGCGGTCACAAGACACATCAGTAAACGACTGAACTGTAACAGAAATCCGCAACACAGTAGTTGTAATCCCTACTTTGTCTTCTTGCCTGTTGATGCTCGGCTTGTAGAAACATGCGAACCATCCTCAGCAGTCAGTTGGCGATGCCACGGCAACCAGCAAGGCACACCTCCAACCGGTGCGCTACTACTTTCCACAGTGCTTAGAGCTCTCCCCTCGTCCCAAAGATGGCGTCGGGTCAGCCACTTCTGCAAGAGCAGCCGGCAGAAAGGCAGAGGATGCTGCGGCGTGCAAGCACTCTTCTGCTTACGTATTGGGAGCCCATCTGGTACTCCATCGTGAAGGGTGCAGTGACAATGATACTAGCGCTGGAATGAGGCGATGACTTTTTGCTTTTACAACAGGTCCGCTGGAGAAAGTGACTTGCAGACCTTCAGAAGCTTTGGCAAGTGGGGGTTGCCTGTAGAATGCCTAAGGACAGCACTGCTGCTGACCATGGTTGGCTTGTCCATGAGCTATGTTTATGAGCTTGACGACGACTTCGATGGGGATCTCAATGACAAGGCATCAAGCCCAACGCATACGCGGGGCAGAAGCGAAGCGTGTTGGGGCTCCCCGACCTTTTGGAATGCGCACATGCACTAAAGTGTTGATTCTGAGGCTGGCGGTTGGGCGCAGGATCTACTACTGGCTTTGACTGCCACGCTTTTTGTCCTTTCCAGCCACTTTGTGGCCTGTCCATGATTGGCCCTTTGCTTCTTGATCGTCGTTGCCTTGCATGCTGTGAGAGGCTGAATTTTCGTGTTTTGCGAGCTTGTGGGTTCTTT